CCCCAAACAGAAACCTGAGCAGACCATCTGCTGACAAGGCTTACAGGGCCCGGCGCTGTTTTCCAAAGAAACAGAAACACTCCATGTGCCCCACACCTACCCTTTCCTGCACGCCCACCTCCCTGGCTGAGCCCCAGGCCTCCTCTGTCCAGGGTCTTGGCAGGAGCACACCGGCCTCAGGAAGCCACCCGGAGTCCTCCATCTGCTCTATCCCCTTCACACGCCTCCGGAGGTCACACGGACTCCCCCCGGCCCGGCACAGACTGCAGTCCCAGGTGTCCACCAGTGTCCCCCACAGACAGTAAATTCCTGGAGTGCAGGGGGTCTCATTTCCACCAGGCGCCCAACCCCTAGCCCGGGGCCTAACCTCCAAGTGTGGATCACAGCGTTGTCCAGAGAAGACGCCCCCACCAGGTCCACCAGTGGGGCCAGACTCCAGCCCACACGCAGTCCCTGGGTCTTGGGGGGCACCAGACAACAGTCCCCAGGACTCTGCCCTGAGCAGGTGCCAGCCCTCACCTGAAGCCGGGACGTGTCCCCGTGTCCAGACCCCATTTCCCATCAGCCCAATTCCTCTGCCCTGTCCTGACCCATTCCAGGGACTTCCTCAAGTTAGGGCCAGCTGCTCGGAGGGAGGCTAACCCGACTCTCCAGGGAAACAGACCAGGTTATGGGGAGGGAACCGAGGGACCGACCGGGCAGATGTAGGGGTGGGAATCGGGTGTCCCAGCAGAGTGCCCACTGGACACAGACCTGGAGGCCTGGAAGGGACACCCACCACCACCTGCTGCTCAGGGAGTAGCAGAGGAACAGAAAGCCTGAGGTGGAAAGAACTGAGCCCTGCCCATCGACCAGAGGCCTGGGGAAGGGGGGTCCAGCCTAGGCCACGGAGGCTGTCTTTGGGGTCACTGCCAACCAAGGCAGAGAAACCCCCTCCTCGCCTTCACAGGGCCCCAGGGTGAGCCAGGAGGTCCCACCTGTCTCCCTCCCCTTTCCAGCCTCCACCTAGCAGCACCAGGGTCATCTGAGGCAGGTGGATGCACCAGCAGGTGAGCAAACAAAGCCACAGGACCCAGCCAAGATGGGGGAGGAGGTGGGAGGTACCAGCGGGGAAGAGCGTCCAGCCTGGGTAAAGGGCCTGGCCGCCTGGTGGAGGGCAGGAAGGGCAGGAGGCCCCCGAGAAGGGGTCCAGCAGGGGCGGAGTCCAGCTGAAGGAGGGGTCCTGCTGGGTAAGGGTCCCGTCAGGAAGAAAGGGGAGCAGGGGCGCGGCCTGTGGGGGGAAGAGTCAGGGGAGGCGGTGCTGGGGGACTTAGAGGAGCCAGGGGGAGGAGCCAGCGGGGGGGTGTGCTGGGTGGGGCGGGGGCGGGGCCGGAGGGGCGGGGCTTAGGTCTGGCTGGCGACTCTGAGGAGGAGGAGCCCGAGCGCCGGGAGTGGGCACAACCCAGGTGGGAAGCAGACAACCCACACCCGGGGGCGCCGCGCTGTGAGCGGCCTGGCTGCCTGTGTACCTGGGCTCTGAGGGCGGTGACATCGCTCCACCTGCCAGCAGCACTCGAGCTCTCCCCAGAGCTCAGACGACCCGGAGGGGCACAGGGGACTCCTGCGACACCCACTTGCCCGATGGTGCTTTCTGTTTCCCTGCCTGGGGCTTAGAAGTGGGGGGGGGGGTGTGTTGGAAATATATGCCCCTTCCATTGACAGGCAGCCATTCTGCCCACAGCAGTGGCCCTGGATGAGCCCGGGAAGATACAGCAATCTTGCCCCACCCTGGCCAAGAAGTGGGCATTTGGGGCCGTTGGGGGGGGGGGCACCCAGGAGGAAGGAAGCTGGAGCTGGCGGATGTGCACACCCACTGCTGTGAGGGGCAGGGCCGCGGGGGTCTCCTCTGGGGGCACCTGAGCCCGCTGCTCCTCTCCAGACATACCCCGCTGCCCCCACCACCACTCCAAGGCCATGACCTTGGCATGCACAACTCTGTCCGCTACCACTGCCAGCAACCCCCCTCTGTCCCAGGTCCCCAAGCACAGTCACTCCCTCCTCAAGCCATGCTCTTCAAGTCCCCCAGTGCCACCACTGGGGAGCAGGGGTCACACATATGGCATCTCCCCCCTTTCCTCCTCCTCACTGCCCCCATGTCCCCCTACCCCACCCCAGGTCTCCAGCCCAGCCCAGCCTGGCTTGCCGCCCCACTGTCCCTGACCAGACTTCAAGGGTTCCCCAACATGATGTCTTTGGTTCTGACGTATTGTTCAGTTAAATAAGAACGAGTTTCTGTGCTTTGCATGGACATACAACCGTGGGCAGGAGGGAGCGGGCGGGAAGAAGGTCCCAGCCTGGTCAATATTTACGCAGCTCCTCCTGGGCACTGGGCTGGGGGGCAATGAGACTGTCTCCCCAAACTCCTTGTGCCCTGGCTGAGAGCAGCAGCACGGGCCCGGCGTGAGCCAGCAGGTCCCGCCGCCTCCCGGGGAAGGGCAGCCGAGCAGCATCTAAATCCCAGCCGTGTGGCCACCAACCTCCTGGGTGCTCTCAGCCTGCTGGCCTGGGCCAGCCTGGTGCCACAGGGTCCCCAAAGCACGCGGCCTACCAGGGCGGGGCAGGATGGCTGCGGGAACCTCCCAGAGCCTCCCTGTGGAGGGGCAGAGGCTCTGAGACACCCCCGACCCCGGGTGACCCCCCCCGGCCTCAGTGCCCCGAGCAAGAGCAGCTCTCTCCCTCCCACGGCACAGACACTCCGCCCAGAAGGTCCAGCAAAGGCAACCGCCCTGCACAGACTGCTCCAATCATCCGTCGCCCTGTCCTTCCGGGCCTCCACCTCTCGTCCTGCCCCAAACAAACTCCCAAGTAACATGGGGCTCTAGGCACGTGACCGCACTGCAGGGCAGCCGGAGGCCGTGGGGCAGCGGGCAGCGGAGGCCCCGCTGGGTACGTGAGCCTCCCACCTTCCCCACCGGCCTCCAGGCCCATGGTGGACTCTGGCCCCAGGGCAGCACACAGGCCCCTCACCGTGTTTGTCAGCACCCACCCCATCCGTCTGTCCACATTGCCGCCACCAGTAGCAACGTGTGGATCTGAACAGGAACGTTCTGGAAGCCAAAGCAACTTGGAGGTGACAGGACACTGAATAAGGGCTTTTCCCACAGGCTTTCCACCTGCATGCCAGCTCTGCAGTAGAGAAACTGAGGCCCTGGGTGGGAAGGGTGTGTGTCGCGCAGGGAGCCAACAGCAGCAAACGCCAGACGCCTGCTTCCTAAGAATCCAGGCTTACAGGACGGGCTCCCTGCCCCCCGGGAGTACAGGGGCTCATCTTATCCTGGAGCAGAGCTCCCTGGGCCCAAGACCTTTACAGACCATTTCCTCTCCCTCAGTTCTCTAGAAGGGATGACCAGAAACTACACAAAATTGTTTCGGAAAAAGACAATAGCACTGCCTTTCGTTGAACCAGCCGAACCCCTCATACGCCAGATCTCAGACCTCCCCTCCCCACCCGGAGCTGACCTGGCCGCAGGGCCTCCCTCTGGTCTGGTGGGGAGGTGGTCCGGCTGGGGGACCCCACACCATGGGGGCCAAACACATAACAGAAGGGAAGGTTGTAGGGGGAGGGTCAAACAGCACCTCCTAAGGACAGACGGCAGGCAAGGCCACAAGCCAGGGGCCTGCTGGGAACCACCCAGAACGGAGCCCCCCCCTCCCCTCCCTGGGTGCAGGGAGCCCTCTACCCTCCTCCTTTTTCTCCGCCTCACCTCTGTTTCTGGCGGTGTCCCTCTCTTCTCCCCACCTCCAGGCCCCTTCCCCCATTCCTTCCTCCTCCCCTCTTAGCCCCCAGCATGTGCTGGCCTCTCTGGACCCCAAAATACACTTCCAGTGTCTACCCTGTGCATCCATGATCCCTCTGACCATGGGCATCCCTGACATCTCCGTCTGAGAGCACCTCCCTGGGTCCTCGTGGGGGGGCCCTCGGTCCCCCCAGGCCACAGTCGGATTCCCCGCACCCCCTTCTTCTTCCCAGAGCCTGTTCCGTGCAGCCCCCCCTGCTCACCCCATCTCCCCCATCTCCCCCACCTCCTCCATCTGCCACATTCTCTCCCTAGATGGGCTCGCCCACCACATCGGATTCCCCCTCCTCCTGCCAAAATGCTGCCAGAGGCGGAAACAAAACCCTCCTTCAGGGCCTTCCAAGCCCTGCTCTGTGGGGTGGGTTTCACTGCTGGGTCAGGCTGGGAGAGCCCCGCACAGCAAGGACGCCTGCCTCCAGTCTCCTGGGTCTCCGGCTGGGGAGGAGCCCGTGGGGAGCAGGCAACGTCCTTGTCCCCCGCTACCGTCTCGCTGGCCCTCCTGGAAGGCAGTGGCAAAGTTCCGACGCTCCCAGCCTTGCTCAGACCCCGGCAGGGCGGCGGTGGCAAGGACTGGAGCCCTGTTCGACCTTGGCAAACCTGTCTTTCTAGACCAGAAACGGGCCCACAACGGGCGCCAGGGAGACTGGAGGAAACCCAAGTCCCCGTCCCCTCCCAACCTCCCCAGGGTGCCGCAGGCTGGGAGAGAGACTCTGCCAGCCCCGCACGAGGTCCAGGCACACTGGAGAGGAGCCCAGAGCCGTGCACAGCCAGCAGGAGCCCTGCCCGCCAGGGGCCCATCCCGCGCCCACTTTCCGTCCCTCTTCTGGGATGTGTGCAGCCAAAGAGCGCCAGCCAGGGCTCTGGCCGGGCTTGGCCGCTCACCAGCTGCCTGACCTTGGGCCAATCCTTGCCCTCTCCACGCTCCCCTCTCCACGGCCCACACCCAGGGGAGCTTTGTGGATGGCGACTCGGAAAAGAGCCCAGCCCTAGTAGCCCCCACCGCGTCCTCGACTCCCGAGTGACCTTGAACGCCCCCGACACTCGCGGCCTCAGTTTCCCCACCCGCCCAATCCGTATATGCGCGCCCCGCTCCCCTGGTGTTCCCGGTCCCTCTCGGGCAGGTGTGTATCCCAGACCCGACGGAGGGCGCGCAGCGGCACTTACCGTCCTCCAGAGACGCGGGCGCTTGGCGGGCACCAAGGTGGCCGTAACCAGCAAATGCGAGGCGGCCACCACGAGCCCGAAGCCGACGGCCAGCAGGCTGCGCACGGGCAGCAGGGCATAGGACACGAAGGTGACCAAAAGGAGCTGCCAGACGCCGTGGTCGGCGGCCGCCGTCCCCGAAGCCGCGCCGGCGTGGGTGCCCGCGGGCCCGCCGAGCGCGAAGGGGCAGCAGAGCAGCGCGAAGGTGAGGCTGAACAGCAGCGCCAGCTGGCCGACCTGCTGCAGCTGCGACGCCTGCAGCGAGCGCACGTTGGTGACCACGAGCAGCGCCAGGAAGAGCACGCAGTGCGCGGGGTGCGAGCCCCTGGCCAGGCCGGCCGCGGGCCCCGGCGCGCCCAGCAGCTCCGCCAGCGCCAGCGCGCCCGCCAGCCCGCTGAGCACGGCCAGCGCCTTCAGCGTGGCCGCCTGCTCCAGCCGCAGCGTGTAGCCGCGGAACAGCGCCTCCAGCTCGGGGCACGCGAACTCCTCGCCGCACGGCCGCAGCCCGCGCCGGCCGCCCGGCCCCGCCGCCCGCTCGGCGCCCCCGGGCTCGCCCGCGCCGCCGCCGCCTCCGCCTCCGCCGCCGCCTCCGCCTCGGCCGCGCGGCGCCCCCGCCATCTCAGCGCCATGCGGCGGCGGCCGGGGCGCCGGGGCGGGCGGGCGCGGGCGGGAGGCGCGGGGCGCGGCGGGCAGACTCGGGGCGCCGGCTGCCCCGCGCGCGCGCCCCGAGCGCGTCCCCTCCCGCCGCCGCGCCTGCGCAGTGCGCCGCTCGCCCGCCCGGCCGCGGTCCTCCCGCGGCCCAGCTGCGCCGGCCCCGCCGAGCGCCGAGCCGAGGGGCCGCGTGACCCCGGCGCCCTCCGCGCCCCGAGCCTCAGTTTCCCCGCCGGTGCGCGGCGCGGCCCGCGGAGCCGTCTCTCGGGGCGTGGGAAACGCACGAATCCTGAGCTATGCCCTGGGGTGGGGCGGGGGGCTCCATTCTGCCGAGCGGGTGACACCCCTCGACTCTAGAGGAGCCCGCGGTGGGACCCCGGGGCCTGCAGCTCGCCCTCCCACCCCCCGGCGCCGCCGCGGGGGACCCAGCGCCCTGGTCCTGCTACCCCGCGAGCGAACACGGGGGCGCGTGGCGTGGTACCGCGCCTCCCGGCGGTACAGACACAGAGTCAGGCCAGAGTCCTGCCAGGGGGCGCGGCTCTGGGTGCAGGGATGGGGTGGGAAGCACAGAGAGAAGGGACACTGCAGTTTGCCCTGGGGGGGACTGGAAACCCAAGTGAGAGCGGGCTGTATGCTTCTGGCAGGGGACAACTATATGTGCGGTGGTGTCCACGCGTGCCTGGGCCCCACCCAGCGCCTCCTATCCCGCGGCTTGTGCTCGGGAAGGGGCTTTGAGCCTCACTTCAACCGCATTGCCTTCTTTGGCGCTCACAGGGGACCCTGGGGGCGTGCCTCTGTCCCCCCAGACACACCAGGAGAGGTAAACAGCTCGCCCTGGGAGGCTTACAGAGAGGTAAGGACTCTGGGCAAAACCGCCGACTCCTCCCGGAGCCCACGCCGCTTCTTGCTCACCCCTCCATACACAGGGAGCGGGACCTGGGGCTCCCACAAAATCACAGACAGCAGAGACCAGGAGCCTAGCCCCTCTGCAGGAGGTCCTTTCCAGGTGGCCTCCAGACACCAGGATTTAGTTGGTGTGGCAGGCATGGATCTGTTTTTCAGGCACTGTGGGGTTTTCAACTAGGCTCCCAGGTGAGAGCCATTGGCCATGTGCTGTTATATGGGCTCAAGGTCTAGAAGATGGGGAACTGGGTATTAGGCCACAGGAAGTGGTCATTTTTGTACAAGACACGACGTGTCACCCATCAGAAGTGGCACCTCACGGCCACCCTGGCCAGGAGCTCTCACTGTTCCATCCCCAACAGCTCACATCAGCGCACTCTTGGTGGCCACCTGGTCCCCCCTCCTGGACAGGCCTCCCCATGCAGGGCACCTCCTCTGTGAAGGCTTCCTGGCTTCCTGACCACCAGTTCCCAGTGCCCCCAGGACCTGGCGCTCTGTCTGGTCACCTGGTAACTTGTTCCCATCCCCTCTTAGAACTGACAGCCCCTTGGGCCAAGGGGGAACTGGAAGTTACCTGCCCCACCTCTGTTTTTGACTGACATCCCCGAGGTCCCATCTCCCTCACCTTGTCCCCCACCTGTCCCCAGTGGTAGCAAGTCTGCATGATCCTTCAAGCATCAAGGACCACGTGTAGACTCTCTTGTTAAATAGGTATTTTTATGTCCTAGTGGTACTAAGAAAGGAAAGCTGAGTACTGTCCAAAAATCGGGCAAGCCACCTGGGAATGAAGGGATGAAAAAGTACCCTGGGGTCAAGGTCACTAGGCGACAGCACCCTCCCAGCCCACTAGCACATTCACTGGGAGGGATCAGCACCCACCTCTCTCACCGAGATGGGAGGCGCCAGAGCTTCCCACTGCACCGCCGTGGGGCAGAGTGGGGGGCTGCTGTCTCCTTCACCTTCTCTGCCCCCGTCTGCTGGGTTGAAAGGACAAGGCCACTAGCAGGGGGTTGCATCCAAGGATAACGGGCAAGCCGTCTGAGAAACCGTGCACATGCCCCATGGTCTCGTGAGTGTCATCTTAAACCATGTCCCCCCAAAATTCATATGCTGCAATCCTGACCCCCAGTACCTCGGAATGTGACCAGCTGTGGGACTAAGGTCACACGGACATCATTAAGCTGAGCACCCTAGACTAGAGTGGGCCCTAATGCAGTATAACCAGTGTCCTTATACAAAGGGGACATTGGGAGGAGAGCAAGCCTGAAGACGGGTCAGCCCGTGAGCCACGGAGTTATAGGAAGGCAGGAGGCTCCTCCCCCAGCGCCCCCCTGCCCAGGGATCTCAGCCCTGTGACCCCACGATCCTAGCCTTCCGGCCTCCACAGCTATGAGAATGTATGTGTTGTCCACGCTGGGGCTCCGGCGCCTCGGGAGGGGGCCCTGGCCAGCTAGCGCTCGGGCCTAGGGTCCACCCTGAAGAACATTGCCTGTTATGGAACGTCAATATTGATCAGGAGCAAAGGCGCCACGCAGAGCGCAGACCCAGATGGGAAATTCTGCCCTTCCTGGAAGCAGCCCCTCCAAGTGGGAGGTGAACAGAGGGAGGGGAACATCATGGTCACTGTGTGTCCTGCTGGCCCGGGAGGACACCACCAAGAATCGCAGGCACCTCGTCTGAGACAGGAGTGCAGGCCTCCTTAAGTAGTAACAGCGCCAGGCCTCCCTCGGACTTTTTGGACTTTTTGTGGGTCGCAAATCTCCGTCTCTGTATTCGAGGCTCCCAGCTGCTGAAGCCTTGTCCTTCCAAGAACATGAAATGCCCTGGATTGGGGGTGTGGCACGGTGTGGCGGGGGCCCAGCGTGGAGCACAGTCCAGCGTCGCGCAGTGTCCCAGCTAAGAGCGCAGACGCATGCCACCCCTCCCGGCTGTGTGACTTGGGGCAGGCTGCTCACCCTCTCTGGGCCTCGTCTCCTCCACAAACAGGGGCTGTCATGGCTCCCGGCCCACAAGGTTACCGTAGGCACAAGGACAACCGCTGCTGTGCATGTTCTGTGCACACAGGACCAGGCAAGCGTCACGCTAACCCGGTGAGCTGGGTGAGTCAGGCCCTCTGGACACAGCAGGCCACAACAGCTGGGGAAGTCGCCGTAATCCAGGTTCCGCCTGGGGACACTCACCGAGCTCCTGGGACTTCTGCCAGAGACACAGCTTCCAGACGAGTATTCCTCACTGGCGCCCACTTTGTGTTTGGGATGGAATTTCCCCTGTGGGTCTGTTGGAAACCCTGTGGAAATGCAAGCTGTCTCCAGGAATCAAAGGGCGTGAGGAGAACCCCTGTGGGGGGCTCAGCCTCCTCCTCTCCCCTGGCGGCTGGATGGCTAGGTGCAGCATTTGCCCCACAAATGCCTCTCTTGGATACGTCCTGCTGGGCTGGTTGTTGGGGGCAAGGGGATGTGCAGTGTAGACAAGTAGTGGAAACGGCCGCAGGGGTCGGTTCAGGATTCCTCCGGCGAGAATGGGACAGGACTCCAGCTCAGCTCCCTTAACCCAAAAGTTGGAGGCCACGTCTGCTTACCTCGCTGGAGGCTGGGATGGCTGACTGAGGGCCACACTGGGCAATAAGTGGTCACACCCTCCCCCTACAGCGGGACACTGACCAGTCTGGCTGAGGCCGCTGGGGCGCATGGCCCAGGTGGCCAAAACAGAGGGTGAGTGTGTCAAACCAGGGGCCGGAGCTGGATGGGTGGGTGGTGATCCCTGAGCCACACAGCCGAAGCGGCAGGACAGGGCCCACACATCTGATCCTTCACACCTTGCTATCCCACACCTTGATGGCCAGGAAGACCAACTGGGGCTTCACGCCAGCTCTGCCACCTTCCTGCGCCTGGCCCCGGGCTCGGGGTCCCCAGAGACTTGGCATCCTCGCCTCAGTGCCAAGGTCTCAGGCCAGCCCAGAGCAACAAGCTCCGGGTAACACCGGACCGCATACCTGGTCTGCGGGGACACCTGGCTGGCAGGAGGAGGTTTGCACGATGGGCGCGCTGGCAAGCTCGTTGTCACCAGGATTCGGCCCGAGAGGAGCAGGACCCCTGGGCAGTGGGAGGGGCCGGCCTCCAGGCTGGGGCCAGCCCAGGAATCCCACCGATAAATATGTGTTCAAAACCGTGCCCAGTGCTCCCACAGAAAGGCGCGCCCTCTGAGGGGGCACAGAGGGGCACCCAAGCCCCCAGAAAGGTGTCCTCTTGGAGGCAGTGGGCAGAAATGGAACCCTGAGCTCTGGAGACCCAGACACAGAGCCGCAGGTCCTGAGCTCTTCTCCCCAGAGCTCGGGGTCCTGCAAGGTCTGTGTCCTCCTCCCTCCCCCGCCACTGGGAGAGTAGCCTCAAAGGAGCAGATGCTGGCCATGGCCGGGCAGGAGAGACCAAGGAGCCCAGGGCAAGGCTGTGGTGGAGGTCAGCAGGGGCAGGTGGAAGGTTCTTGGTGACCCCAAGGACAGTGGCCACTCTCCATGGGCGCAGTGGAGGGGTCTAACAACCCCCAGAGCAAGGCCAGCGTGACCATGACTGCTCTCAGGTGGCCACACCCCTCATCCGAGCCCACCCGCTGCACTCGGGGGCTTCTAAGGAAGAGTCTTCCTCCGGGTGTAACCATACCTCCCTCAAGAGGCCAAAAGTAGCTTATCCCCAGTGGTTCTTCTAAACCATGACGGCTTTCTACTAAATCCAAAAGACGGGGCATTCCAGGCAGGCATTTTCCGAGAAGGAGAGGACCCTCTGCCGGATGGGGGACGTGCGGGGACATGTGCCCTCGTCAGGCAGTGGCTCTGTCCTTGCCAGGCTCCGGGGCCCGGATGGGTTTTCGCTTGTCCCTGGTTATCCTGAGCATGACAAAGGACTCCGCAAAGGGTGCCAATATTTGCCACGTGTGCCTTGACGTCTGAGTATGGCTTCGAGGGACAGCGAGCCTTGGCTGTTGGAGCAAGAGTGCTGGAAGGTGCTGGGCAGGTGGAGTCGGGGAGTCGGTCCAGCCCTGAGCATCACCCGAGGCCGCCTGCTGGCTGG